AAAAAGCTCAGAGGAATTATATTTAGAGAGAGTTTTAGTCAAATCTGGTTGTCATTTTGAAATTATATTAATATTTTATAATATATTTTTCTAGGTAGAAATAGTGAATATATTGTTTGAACTGCATTTGTAAACTCTTATACCTGTTTTAAAATATTGCAGTCAGGAATTTTTCTCAGCAGTAGCAGAAATGAGAGATGCCAAATTATGTGTAATTGGAAGTATTTCATTCTAGGAAGGAAATACAACAATAATTTGTATAGTGATTTATGAAGTACAGTCATTTATGAGCTTTGGATTGTTTGCAAAAATAAAATAGGCTCTTTAAAGCTAGACATTTTCAACAGAAATGTTGAAAACTAGCGTTTGTCAGATGGGCAATTTATCCTATGATGTTTTATATGTAACAAAAAAATGAAGCACAAATATCAACACACTAATAAAAACCAAGATAGTGCTTACACATGATATCGCTATAGCAACATTAATGCTATAATTATGCACCTATTACCTAGAAAACAAGTTACTGGGCCTTACTCTCAGTAATAGTGCATGGAAACATATCCTCAAGAAATAATAATAAAAAAATCCAATCAATTTGTGCTTGCAGTTCTATGATTTAATCTGATCAGTTTAGTCTGATGTGAATTCTAGCTGAATAAAATAAGTGTTGTGCTGGGAAGAACTGCAGATATCCATTATTTGGCAATTTTCAGGGGATTCAGGGCACCATAGATTAATTTAGAAAAAAAATGTATGTTAATAAAAGGAGGACCAGTAAAAAAAAGAAGATATATACTCTACAGCAATGAAGAAAATTCAAAACCAATGGTGTTTTTCATTATTGGATTCTCAGATTAGATCGCTGATGTTCTTCTGTAAATGAGTCTAATGTAATCACTGAAGAGTAAGATTAGAAATAAGGAGGCTCAGCCTTAAAAACCATGTTCAGCCATGCAAATCATTCTGTTGACTCAGTCTCTAACCACAACCTATTTCAAAGGATTATTCTTCTTAAGATAGCTTCCATGTGTTGCATATAAATAGAAAGGAGAAGAGAGAGATGCTTAATTTTTTAAGGACAATGATCCACAATTATTATGACTCCAGTATCAGGAGAAGTCATTTGGATGGGGTTTAGGATTCTCTTTGACTTGGAAACCTTGAGGATATTGATAGGTATCTTAATCGGTAAAGACAATCAGGCTGTTTTCCTCTGCCTTTTTTGTTCCATAACACTATCCCAGGGGTTGGCAACCTTAAACACTCAAAGAGCCATAAAGATCCTAACTGGAAGCTCCCTGTTCAATTCTGGAACCAACCAGAAGTCCGGTTCCCCACCATAGACACCTCCTAGCACGGCATCCCTTTTCCTCTACCTGTCCTAACTGAAAGTCCTATCAATTGTGGAGCCGACATGCGACAGGGAGCCACAGCAGAGGGTGGAAAGAGCCACATGCGGCTCCAGCACCACGGGTTGCTGACCCCTGCATTATCCCAAAAAGTATCCCACTGAAGTGAAAAATATTATTTTATGGACAAAGTTGTTCTTTCTTAAAAAAAAAATTAATACACTTTTTATTAAATGAACTTCTAGGATACACCTGGATATTACTGATTATGTAGACTTATTTCAAGCCACTTTCAGGTGAGATATGGGACTGAGATTAATTTGGTCACTTTAGATGATCTTTGTGAAGAACTTGGTCTTATCAGTTATTTTGACTTTTCTGTAGCTTATAGAAACCTACTTATCCTTCTACATGCTTTGTGATAAGGTTCTCCAGACTTTGCAGTATTAATACTAAGATGCCTATCAGGTTTTCTGCAGATGCTTTACCACATGTCTCTGCAAGGTTTATTTAGAGCAATAAATCCAAAGACAAGTTATGTTATGGACTATGTAGTCTGCATCATTTGAACTCGGGGTGGGCGTGGGTGTTGGATATTCACTAGAGGCCCTGTGAGGTTCTTATAATATTTTTGCTGCATTCCAAGCTGGTTTGTTCTTAACATATTTAAATCAGGTATCTTTCAAGGACTTTTGTGCGAGAAGAAAAATATATTTTTCAGGGTCCTCATTTTACCCACCTCGGAAGGATGGAAGGCTAAGTCAATCTTGAGTTGGTGAGAATTGAACTGCTGAACTGCAGCCAGCAATCAGCAGTAGTCTGCAGTACTGCCTTCTAACCACTGCTCCACCATGGCTCATATAGCCCTGTATAGTTCGACTTTGTAGTACATGACTTATAGTTGGGTTCTCTGAATTTCAGAGGATTAAACCAAATGCAAGAGTTTTTCAGTATAATCATGCAAAGTAGGAAAGGATAGTTATAAAATTTATACTGTGTCTAATTTTACTTTTTCATAAAGATCCTGGTATATTTAAAATATTTATTAAACTTATATACTGCCTGATTCCCAACAATTTTGAGTGATTTACAACTTAAAAAATATTTTAAAAATGTATATTTAGGTACTGTATTTTCCCAAAATAAGCACTTATTTTTGGGGAGGTCATTATTTTTGAGGTGCGGAAGGCGGTGAGCGTGGTCACCTCATGGCTGCTGCTGTGTTGCAATATTTTCGGAGCTGGCTTATTTTCGGAGCAGGGCTTATTTTAGCGCATGGGCTCAAAAGCTCGATTGGACATTATCTGGGGAGGTCTTATTTTCAGGGAAACAGGGCATACACATAGTCATTCACCATAACAGATAAAATAAATACAATAAGACAAGAATAAAAAGAAACAGACCCGCTCGTCCACAGCAAGTCGAGCTGTGCACAGACATATGTTTATTGACCCACTGCTCATGTGGCCAGTCTCCCCCCCCCCTTTGCTGGTCCTCCAAACTGCCAAAGTTGGGACCCATTGGTTGAAGAGACATCATTTTACTATGAAGGATACCAAAGAAAACAATGAGAAACCAGATGTCTGCTACTGATGCAAAGGAAAATATCATCCCTTTGGGAATTGCTTATCAACATTCATGCCTGTTGCCTCTACCATGAAGTCAACTGGTATTAAATTGAAATGTGAAACAAAGTCATTTGTTTGGAGATAGTTAAAGATCCCAAGTACTTATTTTAATGATAGCCAAAATATTGCAGAGAAGGAAATACTAGCCACCTTTATATAGCTTATCATGATCATCATCTTCATTTAGCAACCCCATAATCCCTTGTGGGGTGAACTCTAGGCAACTGAATGGAGCTAGCAGAGTGTTTTAATGGTCAGATGGTCTTCCAATGCAGAGTTTTGTTCAGCAGAAATATTCTTAGTGTGCCCAGAGAGAAATATCTCCCTCTACCTAGGATCGAACTCACAGCCTCCTGATTGTGTGGTGAGAACTCCGCCTCTAGGCCATCGCACCACTCCTACAGATCGCCATGATGCAAATAGTATATTTCACTGTAACACTTGTATTGATTCAAATTGATGATTCAAGCTCAGTTCATAGCATTGTAATTTTATTAATTTTTATCTCAGGATTTATCATGCATTATTTATCTAAAGAAATGGGGTTGTCTGAAGACTATGCAAACCAAGATTTGTATTTGCTCTTCATTTTAAACTCTGTGCAGTGTGTGAGTAAAATGTTTATTACATTTTTTGAACAGGGCCCAGGAAGAGGCAACAATCCAATGTACAATTAAGGATGCTTAAGTTCCTTTGAAATAAAAAGAACACAATGGGAATTAATGTGCTTAACAGCATACTGGATGGTGGCCACTTTCTAATCATCTTCAACAAATAGGTTTTGGTTCCAGACCTTGGGAGCATGTTAAATAATAAAGTGAAATTGACATGGAAATGCAGCTTTTAAAAAGTACATTTTGATATGAGAGACACCATGAAGATTTATGATGGGATATTGAAGTAGCATTTATTTATTTATTGAATTCTTATTAATGCCCATTTGCCCATGGCAACTCAATGAGGCTTGCAGAATATAAAACCACATTAAAAACAATATAACTAACAAAAAGAATCAAATAAATTAATATAGTAACAATAGCATAACAAAATCACTCCCCACCTCCCACCCCGGTGATCCCAGATCACACAATCCATTTAATGGGCTCCATCCCACTCTGGGTTCCCCAGGACCACTAGCAGAACCAGGTCTTTGGCGCCTTCCAGAAGAATATTAGAGTGGTGGGCATTCTAATCTCTGAGGGAATGATGTTCCAAAGAGAGGAAGCCACCAAGGAGAAGGCTGGTCCCACCAGGTATATCTCCCTCAGGGATGGGACCTGCAACATTCCCTGCCTCCCCACTCTGATGGGTTGGGTAGATGTGACCGGCAAGAGATGGTGCTTCAGATAACCTGGTCCCAAGTCATTTATCTAGCAACAGGCAACAAAGCCAACAGAAACTTTTTTGTTACTTTCAGCAAAAGTAAAACCTATCTTTCTTCTTTCTTGAATTGGTCCAGACCTTTGATGCTTCTGACCACTTTGACAGTGACTTCTGTTGGCTTATCTTCATGTTTTTCATTCTCATCTTTGTTTTGCCATATAAACTGTTCAGGACCACATTCTCTTTCAATTCAGTCACCCGTTTGGCTCCTACTAGTTGATTATATAAAATATCAGTGGCAGCCATGGAATAAAGCATAAGAGACATTTTTCCTAGGAAGCCAAATGAATTTCATTAATTAAACTGTGTTTTAATACTTGCACATACCTTGAATTATACAAAAAAGATGTCTGTTACATTAAAGGTAGGTTATCACTACAGAATATTTAACTCCAATTGTATATAAACTGAATCAACCCCTGGGGCACAAGCTGAATGTGAATTAAAAGGCTGTGTTAAAATCTAGTTAGTATCCGACTGAATATGCCATTTTACTATTTAGAAGGATGACCTCCTTAATGATTTAAGTTGTGTTTGTCTGAGTTACATAATTCAATAACAACTTTGGATATTCTAAGCTTAAAAGCTCAAAGCTAAAAACATGATAAAACAGCAGAATCAGGAATGAATAGAACTGTTTAAAACACACAAATATTACAAAACAATTCAACAAAAATGCAGGTGCAATATATTTTTAATAAAAGTAACATTTTTATTGTGATAAAAGCTCTCAAAAATGCAATAAAGTAAATAGAATTTCCATGAAAGATTTTTATTTTTTAAAAATAAACATAGCATATATTTATAGTGATAAAGCTCTCAAAAATGGCATAAAATAAATAGAATTTCTATGGGATATTTTTTTAAAAAATGCTATTTTTTTCTACTTTTGATTATATTTGTTACTTGGGGTGATTTTAAAAAAAAAACTAGAACAAGACATGGCTTGTTTTAAAAATAAACATAAAAGGTACATTTTGAATCTTAGATTTACATTACGCAAAGGGATTTAGAAGGAATGTTCTCAGCTATCTTTTTCATCTGTACAATATGCTTAATTACCCATGTTTAGATGCTTACAGGCCTGTTTCATATTACACCAGCAACTGTTGTCCCAGGGTAATACTAGTATAATTTTCTAACTTCTATGTGCCTTAATCTGCAAAATAGAAAACAAAGAAGTAGTACATAAGATACTAACACTCAGTGTTACAATCAGGAGATCTAAAATAATTCTGGTTGAATGCACCAATCATAGCAATGAACAACAGTAGTTTCACAATTTATGTGTACAATTTAAGGCATCATTTGATATGTAGTATCAGTGGTTATACCAGAGTGGTTATACCAGAGTTCACTATTCTTTTCTTTATCAAGCAGTTAACAAATAAGAAAAACATCCAATGTTAAGCTTTAAGCTAAATCAAGGGAAACGGCAGCTATACATGGTTACTTTCAGACAATGGCCAAATCCAACAATCAATGGGAAGGTCCAAAATGGAATGGAAATAAGCAACCAATTCCCTACATCAAAAGATAGGAACTTTATATGGATAATTCATAATGCCAGTTGCAAGTGAATGCATATGTTGCAATCAATGGTGTTGCAATAAAATACAACTATTATGGTATTTATGTTTTTCAGCAGGCATGACTTTGATATGAAAACAGGAAACTGATATTTATTACCATATTTTTCGGACTATAAGACTCTCTGAAGTATAAGACACACCTAGCTTTTGAGAAGGAAAACAAAATCTGCCTCTGAGCAAGTTGCCTCTTCGCAGCAAAGGGCAAACAATATAGTAAGCTTCCTCACAGCCTGATTTAGCACATGCAGCTGATTGGCGGTTGGAATACCTCCTGGAATACCTCCTATGAGCTATTCTAGGCTGTAAGTATTGCCACTGCCCATTGCCACCATCACTGCTGCTACCTATCGGTGCCTCCCCATTTTCGGCCTCTGCGCATCCCATTTTCAGCGTCCGTATGCTTGCTTTTTCGGCCTCTGTGTCTCTCATTTTCAACTGGTTCCAGGAGGAAGGGATCCCCGCTATTGCCTATCCCCGCTGCCTGGAGCGGTCCAAAAATGGGATGTGCGGAGGCTGAAAATGGGGCATATGGAGGTGGCGATAGGTGGTAGGGCCGATGGGGGGCAGTGATCCCTGCAGCCTGGAACATTCACAGTAAAAGATGCACATACATTTCCATCCACTCTTTGGAGGAAGAAAAGTATGTCTTATACTCTGAAAAACACGGTATATTTAGATCAGGTCAATTTTACCTGATGAATAATTGCTCTGATTTTTTCCAGTGATCACAAAACTGTTTCTAAACATCAAGGTTATTCTGTCTAAACTTCATAGTATTAGTAATAACATTGTTAAGAATAGTCTTGATGATCAGGATTAAAAAACAACCACAATGTAGTCCAGCGAACTGCACTGGCTACCTGTTGATCTCCGTGTGCGCTTCAAGGTGCTTCTTACTACCTACAAAGCCCTTCATGG